ATGGCTATTTAAATCACAATGCTCATCTTTGTTCCTGTTTCTGTTTTGATGAGAAACAGTACAGTTCAGGTCTTTTGTTATGTATTGTACTGAGATTAATAATGGCATTAACAACACCCCTTTCTTTCTCTCTTACCTTTTTTATCTGTCTGAGCAGTCTTCTGGCATTGGAAAACTCTCCAACCCGACAGAGCAGATCAGCTGTAGTCACAGTCCGCCCATTGGCACACCCAAATCCCAAAGTGGTACACCCCGGCCAGCTTCTGTTGGTGGAGTAGTGGGAGGACATCTTCCAGGCACCAGTACTCCTTCTTCCACAGGCCATCCAGATGGTGAGCCAGCCCAAACCCACCGAGGAGGAGGAACGTCAAACAGCAACAGCCGCTCTGCAGTTCATTCACTGGGCCAAGGAAGTTCAGGCCCACAGTCTGTGGGAGTTTCAGGACCAGAAGGAGTGGACAGGCCGGGTACGATTCCCCACCATGGTGCAGGTGTGTCTCCATCATCAGGTCCCTCTGCATTATCTGCACACCATCAGCGTGAACAGGGCCAATGTGGAGGGCCAGGAAACACACATGGCCTCTCTAAGGAGCAGCTGGAACATCGTGAACGCTCTTTACAGACTCTTCGAGACATTGAGAGGTTACTTCTTCATAGTGGAGTCGGTGCAGGCCATGAGGAACCAAGAGATCCTAATGGCAATCCTAATGGCACTAATATTAACAACAATAATAGTAATGATGGAGGCAGAGGTTTGGAAGATGGTGAGAATGGTGGGGGGAATACTGCTAATTGCCATAGCAACAATGCTGGTATGCCTGGTATGCCCCCTGTTGGTGGAATGAAAAAGTATGAGGAGCCGTTACAGTCCATCATCTCACAGACACAGAATCTTGGTGGGCCTGGTTTGGATGACTCCCTGATGGGCCCACACCATGGTATGCCACCACATTACCACCACCTCTCCTCACCGTCAGGGTTAGACATGGGGCCACTTCTGGGACCCGAAGGTGTAACACAAGAGCAACTAGCTTGGAGGAAGCTACAAGAAGAGTACTACCAGGAGAAAAGGCGGCAACATGAGATGAACCCCCACCAGCATCCCCAGCATTTCCGCATGATGCCTGAGATGGGCATGCCTGGGGGGCCTCCAATGCTGATGAGAGGACCCCCACCACCATATCATAGTAAACCTGGTGATCAACAGTGGGGGCCAGGGCCAATGGTAGGGGGAGGAATGGGAGGGAATTCACGACTAAAAGACATGCATCAGGAAGGTCCTCGGGGGCCAAGGTTTCTTGGACAGATGCGAGGTCCTTCAGGGGGTGGGGGTTACCCAGAAAGTCCTGGAGGAGTTTTAGGTATGGAGGGGTTGGGGCCTCAAAGACCTCCAAGGCCAGGCATGGGTTGGTTAGACGATATGCCTCCAAACATGGGTGGTGGAGGCCAATTTCATGGGTGCTATCCTCCAGGGGGACCTGGGGGACCTCCCCAGCCCTTTCAGGGTGATTTGGATCGCCCCATAACAAGGGAAGAGATGTTCCGCAGACTCCATAGATTGGACTTGCAGCAAATGTCCAGACAGCAGCAGCAGCAGGCAGGGCTTGGAGGTCCTAGAATGATGGATAACACTGGGGGACCAGGCTTCCCCAATCCTGGAATGGGAGGAGGCCTGCCCTCCCGTGCAGATCCAATGGACTTTCCTGGTTCTCGGACTATAATGGGCTCTCCTAGTGGTGGAGTAGGCAGTGATGGTGGCCCCACAATGAGAGACATAGTTGACTCTTCTTTAGGGGGTAACCTCAATATGAATATGGCCATGAATATGAATCCACAGGGACAGCAGTTGTTGGCTCAGAAACTGAGGGGGGGTCCTGGAATTGGCGTATCACTTGGGGAGATGTTGAACCCTGATGACATCTCCCGCATTAGGGCTTCACAGAATGGCCGGGGTGGTGCTAACAAAGGAATGATCCCTGGCCCAGATGGACCTCTTCAGTTCCCCAACCAGAGCTCCTTTCCCAGTAGTCAAGGTGATGGCTCATATATGCAGCAGCCAGGTCCTGATATGTTTGGACGAGACCAGCCAGGTCCTCCCCACATGAGCAACACCTCAAGACTTATTCACATTCCCATGAACAGTGGCTCAAGGGGTACAGAACTTGGTGCCCGACACGCTTCCGACCTGCCCATTAGTGTTAACCCAATGGGCTCCCCAGCTATACCCCCATCTCACCAGCTCAAATCGCCCTCGGTTAGTCAGGAGCCATCACCCCTCATGCCTTCACCCTCTGCAGCAGGCCTGAAATCACCCAGCCAACTACCACAGAGTGGTCCAACTCACCCTCCTCTACCAGCAGCCTCTGGGGCTGGAACACCCTCTTCCACCTCTATCAATTCCCCCCAGGTAATGGGCCCTTCTCTTGGTCTTCACTCACCATCTGGCTCCCCTGGACACCTTAAATCTCCAACTATGCCTGTTGCTTCACCTGGCTGGAATGCCTCACCCAAGACTACTATGCCTAGCCCTGGAGGGCCTACTAGTGTCAAGGTCGCAGGCAATGGAGGGAGCAGCTCCACTGATACAGGTAAAGGTACAGGTACTGATACTGGTATTCATTGAAATATGAAAAACTTTTCAGATTTTCTGGGTTTTGAGTTATATTTATGCTTTAACATGAATCACATTTTTTTATTTGTAATTTTTTATGTTTATATTAGGTATGTCCCTGCCACCTAGGAGTTCCAACTCAACGCCCATCAGTCAGCCTTCTAACTCTGTCAATCCTAGCATGTCTTTCACATCCTCACCAGATGCCCCTCCCTCCCAGAATCCTTTATCCCTAATAATGTCTCAGATGTCAAAGTATGCCATGCCTAGCTCCACTCCGCTTTACCATGATGCCATCAAGACAATCGCCACATCAGATGATGAGATGCTACCCGATAGACCCCTCCTTCCTGGAATCAACATGTCAGGTACAGATTTTACAGTACATTTGATCACCTGTTTTAGAATCCAGAACTAACACTGCATCGAAAGTGATAATATAAGAAAAAAAAAATGTTCTCCTCCAGATCATTGTTTGATGCCCTGTTATATTATTTGACCTTTACAATTGTTTTGTTTGTTTAAAAAAGAAGTTTCATTAAAATCATTACATGTAACCTTTATCAGTAGGCAACATGGTAAATCACCAGTCGACGCAGATGCTCCTCACCTCGCAGGGTTCAATGGGACCTAACAGTGGTCCACAAAGTCCAATGGGAATGGTTCTCCAAGGAGGCCCACAGCTATCCCACGATCATTCTGGACCTATGCTCCCATCCCCTAACCCTATGGGAATGCCAGGAATGACCTCAGTAATAATGGGAGGTGGAGGGGGACTTCCAGATGGAATAGGGCCCTGTAATGTTTCCCCAATGCATCCCCAAAACCAGATGGGAGGATTCCCTCGCATGCAGGGACCTCTTCACTCCCCTATTGGTGGAATGGGGCAGCAGTACCCCCAGCGCCCTGAAGAGGTCTTACCACCCCAACAGATGCACCTTCTAAGCAAAAGCATGTCTCACCAGCGGCCTCCTCACCAACCAGACTCTTTTCCATCCATGCCCATGGGTGATGGTCCAGACCTGAGTGAGGTCATCAGGCCTACACATACAGGCATTCCTGAGTTCGATCTTTCACGTATCATTCCTGCAGACAAGCCCAGTAGCACCCTGCAGTACTTCCCCAAAAGTGAAGCCATGTCCCAGCCACAGCAAAATCCTCACCAGGGCCAGCTGCCTCCACAAGCTTCTTCTGCTCAACTTCTCAAACAGCTCTCCTCATCTGGACCTCCCCATAGCAACGTCCCCTCCTCCAACCCCCATATCGCTAACCTACAGAACATGATGGCTGAGCAACAGCTGCCCCTACACCCTTCACATTGTGGGATGCGTCCAGGTATGGGCATGCCTCAGATCGGCTCCAGGGGCATGGGATCAGGAGGTGGGATGGGGCCCATATGCCACCCAGGGCACATGATGGGCAGGACAGGCATGTCTCCACAACAACAGCTCCAGCAACAACATCACCATCAGCAGCAGCAGGCCATGATGGCCAATAACCTCTTACAACACCCATCCCACCCTCCTCGTGGCATGCTGTCTCCACAGCAGCACCCTCATAATCTTATGGCCCAACAGAATCTAATGATGATGCAGGCTAAGCAGCGGGGAATGGCTCTCCCTGGGGAGCACTTTGGCCAGCAGGGCGCCCTTATGTCCCCTCAGGGGCCTATGATGGGACCTCCACATTCACAGTCGGGCATGATGGGCCCCCAGAGTCTTAGACAACGGAGCATGTCACTAGACAGCCCATTGGGCTACGGGCCTGGAAGTATGGCCAACATGCCATTTTAATCTGGCTTCTCTGTAAAACTGTAAAAACTTTGTTGCTTAATGGCTATTTCTCATTTGGACATGTTTTTATTGCCACTGACTAACTGTGGCAATCAAATGCTAAAAACGTTGGTTTTAGTAATAATTTCTTGATGCTGAAGTTAACTTTGGGTGAAAAGAAAACTATTGTGGGTTATCATTACAGTTAAGTAACAAAATCTGAAGCCATTTTTTAAGATACATGTAAAATATGTATATTTCAGATCAATGTGTTTGATTGCAAAGGCAAAAGGAAAAAAAGCCTCTGGGTTTCTATGTTCTAATTACATTCTGGCTACTAAACTGTTGTGGAAGGTAATATATAAATATCTATATATATATATATATATATATAGTTGCTGTAAATAGGATGCAATTTGTGCTTGTTTGCAACTGTTCTGTATACTGTGTTTTATTAGAAATCTAATAACAAATATGAAAAAAAAAATCTGTTCACTTTGTGTTGACCTTGTTTGATGTGTGTGAGGGGACATTTTTGCTGATGATCACAAAAAAAAAAATCAGATTAATAGGATTATATCACTTTTTATTTCCAAATATTTGTTACAGATCCATTTGTTATCTTGTATTTAACAGAATCCATTCAAAACACAATGCAAAGCATTACATCATTTTAGGTATGGTGCTTAGATTTGCTTATTAATGAAATTCAACCTTTGACTAACAGATTGTTCAAATTTATATTATTTCAAGCGCTCACATTATGTGCATTTAGTCATGTGCAGTGATTGGCTCAGTGTGCAGGCAAAGCTGAAAATCACAGATAGTTGGCGATTTAAAGAAAAAAAAATATGTACAAAAAATGCTCAGCTGCTCTTAGATATATTGGCTACTTGTTGTGGTAGTAACAGCCTCTGAGACAGATACCCTGTTCAAATTTTTAGTGCGCAGACCTGACAGGCATACACGCAGACACTTCATCTTTGCGAGCAACTGCAGGAGGTCTCTTCGAAAACGGACCCCAATGAAGGCATACAAGATTGGATTCAGACAACAGTGGGAAAAGCCAATGCTCTCTGTCACTATTATCGCCTGTTCCAGTGTGGTGCGAGAATGGCAGCTCTGCTTAGCACCCAACATCACCAGGGTATGTATAAAAATGGTGATGTTATATGGTAGCCAGCACAGGCAGAAAACCAGTGTAACCAGAAGGGCCAGTCGAATTGCTCCCTGTTTCTCCAGACTTCTCTGGCTTTGGCAAAGAGTGATGATTACAGAAGTGTAGCAGTACCCCATGATCAACAGAGGCAGAAAGAAGCACAGCAGGTGTGTGATGAAGCGGCTGGTCAACTTCCAGTTGCTTGCATGGATGCCATGGTTGTTGTAAGAACAAGATAACCTGGTAGAGTTGTTCTCTTCCTTCACAGACAGGAACACCATATTGGGAATGGTCACAAATAGACATAGGAGCCAGAGCAGTGCACAGGTGAGGTGAACGGTCTTAGGTCGACGGGTCTGGAGACTGGGGATGGCGTGCACAATGGCGAGGTAGCGATCGAAGCTGATGCATGCCAAAAGCAGACTCCCACACACCAGATTTAGGCGATTAACAAGGCCCAATAGCTTGCACAGAAAGTTTCCAAAAGGCCACCCAGCTACCCCTTGAGTAACTGCAAATGGTAAAGTGAAGAGGAGGAGCAGGTCAGCCAGTGCCAGATGTAGCAGATAGATCTCTGTGATGCGCAGGTTCCTCCGCCGTTTTAGCAGAATGGTCAGGAGGAGGCCATTTCCTGTTAGGCCCAGGAAAAAGACCACACCATATACAAGAGGTTGAAACACGGAGTGAAACAGATGCAGTGGGTTATTTTCATTGGTGCAGATGTACAGTACTCCATCAGAAGGTCCTTCCGTTATATTTTCATAGTCATTTAAAAGGTCATCCGGAAAAACCTGAAAATACACATTTCAGCTAGATCAACAACAGAGGATTTTTTTTTTCTAGACACCGCAATATTTGCATCAGACGCCCTCCAATATAAATCAATCTGATTATTACTATTATTTTTTGTTCATACTTTGCACCCTTGCTTAATCATTTGCGATTTTTTTTTTTTTAAATGGAAACAATTAAGTTGCATACAGCAAACAGTTGTATAGCCACTTGTACTAGTTACAGGAAGTCATTTAAAGGAAATCTCACTTCCTGATTTTTTTTTTCAGTCTTTAAAATGAAATTAATTATTAATAATACAATTAATAATTATAATAATAATATAGCAAACTGTGATTAAGACAAATACAATTTTTCACAAGAAACACTCTAAAGATATTTAATGTGAGCATTATTTTTGTTGTTCTCAAAATGTACAATTAATTTAATATTGTATGTTTTTCTATTTATTTATTTATTACAGGAAGCAGATTAAATAATCGTTGACTAGGCTACCAGTCCACAGGAAACATCTAACCATAAATTAAAAATCTAACCATTAAAATAAAAAAAGGAGTTGAGAGTTCGGAAATACTCACATCATAAATGACTTTCTCTGTTATTTGCGCCATGTTTGTCTTGATGTGAGTGACCATTATTTTCTCAGAAGTGTGCGTCCTTCACTCCGGGTTGAAAGGAATGCAGTGTTTCAGTGATAAAACCCCCTCTGAACAACCAACCCATGATTTACGCTCAGAGTTTCAAGACACGCCTTTTTAAAATATACCTCCTCAAGGACTCGCACTCACCTTATTTGAATTCTTTACAAAAAAACAATGAAAGAAACCCACACATTTCCTTCACAGAACAAACACATCCCCCGCTATCCTGCAATTCAGATTTATACAGTACTAATTTGCATAGTTTTAACACTTGCACTAAACTTGAGTTGATCATTATTGTTGGAAGCTGCAGCGGTTTTCTTTTTACCACTTGGCTGACCAAACCTTAGCACCTAACTGTTTTCTCAGCAGTCCGACTTGGTTACAGAAACCTATTTAAAATCTCCACTTTGTTAAATAAGTAACTTTGGCACTTTGGTTCTGGCAAATACGCTGCATACATAGACGTTTTGCGGACAAATAGCCTATGAATATATAAAAGTAAACAAACAGAAATTGTGATATGAATTATTTTACAAAGCTAAAATTTGTTACAATTGTTTTATTTCTATTTCTTATTGAAATTAAAAAGTAAGCACAGATGAAGGAAAAATCATTGCACTTTGGCCACTACATAATTCCAATATTTATTTAATTACTTTATCATGATCCAGATGTTTAAATAATAATAATAATAAACTTTTGAGTGGTATAGTGCAAATGTAACCAATGAAAATACATTTTTTAAAACATAGCCATGACATTTGAAAGTCAAGCATCCATGTTTGTTCAAAATTTGGGGATGTGTACACTAAAAAATGCTGGGTTGTTTCAACCCAACTTTGGGTCAAATATGGACTAACCCAACTTTTGGGTTAAAAATTTAATGTAAAAATTTTACCCAACGGTTGGGTTAGTCCATATTTGACCCAAAGTTGGGTTGAAACAACCCAGCATTTTTTAGAGTGTATGTTTTATGGCTCCCAAGTCAAATTATGATTAATTATAAATATTATAAATCTGGACTCTACATAACATCTGATAAGTAGGCTACACGTCAGTGTTATAGTTAGTGCGTCTTGCTAAGGCATGCATCACTTTCACTATTACTCATATTCGGGTGTTAGATGTACCTTAGATGTTCACTTCAGCATAAACCTCAAGTAACCACCTACAACACTCTTGAGAGTTTTGCACGGATGAGAACTGCTCACTTTTTTATTTTGTATTTTCTCCTCTCAGAAAATGTAAAACCTAGTTGTGAAAATGATTGCTACAACCATGAACACACAATGAGTATGTGAAGCGTGTCGGAGTGGCTCCAGTTTAGTATCTAGGGGAAAAAATCATTTATTGATAACATGCACATTGCTTGATTGTACTCTCTCTTGTTACCACTATAATGAACTTTGTAGCTTTAACTATAATGGGACTATAAAATTAATCTATCCATTTTCCAACAGCTTGTCCTGTGAAGTTAAAACCCAAATTCAGTTCATTTTGTGAATAGACATCAGTCTAATTGGTAAGGAAGAGTAATTCAGCTCTTTAAGGCAATTAATTAACTATCTCTGAACCCCACAGGTGTCCCTATCAACAGATTCCTACTTTGTACACACCAAACCTCTTCAACACGTATGAAATAAGTAATAATAATAACAATAACAAGTATTGTAGGCATCCAAATTAATGTCAGACAGCTTTAAATCACATTAGCCTACCTCCAATTAGCCTAGCACAAACATGTTGACTAATTAAATGACTCACATTTCAAGTTTCTACCAAGAGCCAAGGAAAAACACGCTCAGGTAAGAATGAAACTGTGCTGCTATGTAATTATGAATATCTTTTTTAAAGGAGAAGTATAAGTGTGATCTCATTCGCCTACAAAGGACGCAAAAAATAAAACTGCAATGCATATGTGCAATATAGATTGTTTTAAAAACAAGATATATAAAATATTTTGCCTGTATTTAACATGAAAGCAGCAGTAAAAATGCTTTTACTAAATTATGTTAATACGCCTGGTGTTTTTGTAGATTAGATGGGGCTCTCATGTGACTGATTATGGGAGGGTTTAAAGATGACTGGAAGCCATTTTACACACTCGCTTTACACCCCTAAATATATGTCACAACTCTACACCTATAATTCGCAAACACAAACACACAGAAAGAGATCCTCAGCCACATTTGGTAAGTACACCGAAAGTTAAATTTATGCTGTACATGGTGAGATTTTAGAGCGGTTTTGTGGCTTCTTTTGTAGCCGAGTGTTAACATATTTGTATGTGGTGTCTTCTGTATATTCGGCTCGGTTACAGCATTCGGGGAATTGCTTTAGTAATGGCTAAATCTTTTCTATCCAATGTTTTATCGTTTATAAACAACCGGTGTTTAGTAGTTTAGACCGTTAATGATGAATCTGTGACTGTTAATTCGCGTGCGGCCTGTGTGTGGACGCAAAAGCTAACGAGCTCGAGCACAGTGCTAATGTTTGCTTTTTTACCTCACACAATTCAAATATGAAATTCTACTGGCAACAAAAGCAACATATTAAAATGGCATTATTATAGATGTATTTCCTAATTTGTTACACGACATCCGACTGTTGAAGTTCACTGATAAGAAGCCGCCAGCGGCAGCTGCGTAAGTTAGCTAAACATTAGCATTAGCTGCGTTACAGCGAGTTTCACGTTGTGCGTAATCAAGACGGTTAAAATTTAACAGTGTTAACCAAATAACAACACTGCTATATTGGTTACACTGAGATACATTGGTTTGCTGTGTTCGGTAATTGAGTTTCGTGAACGATGTACTTTCGGTTGTGTTAAGCTAACTAAAGTGCATTTATATGGTCTCTAATTATATCCAGATTCCACAGCTGTTTGGCCAAAGTGCCACTGCACCTGTTTTACAAACACAACATCAGCGAAGTCGTCCTGTTAATGTAGCTACATGAAATCTGTAAATGGTTGCGCATCAATCAGCGAGGCTGTTTTAAAATTAGGCCCATCATGTTGACTTTGTGCCAGGTGCTGTTGCCTTCATTACTGAGGTCAGATTTGACATTAAATAAGGTTTGTGGTTTAGTTCATATGTACGAATCTTGCAAGTTTTTCCCTTTATGGAGGCTTTCAGTTTGTTTACAAGAGATTTTATTTTTACAGACTACGCCTAGACTGACTAGACTCTTTTGCTCCTCTAACATTACAATTTAGTGAAAATGTGCTGCTTTAATACCACAAATGATAAATTACTGCTCACATTGGTCTGTATTAGTGATGGTATAATAACCAGGACACATTTTGCCATTTTGAGATTATGCAATAGTAAAACCTCATTCAAAACAAAACCTCGCTTGTCACTTTCAAAATGTACCAACTGGATTGTCAAAAATCACTTAAAAATAGTGATTTGTGAATCAAGTAAATATTGTATAAAACAAGTTTTATAATCGGCAATTCTGTGTCTAGTTTGCCATGTTTTAAATAATTTATATATGCTGACTTAATATTGGTCATTTGCGCTGTGTGGGGGATATTTTATATTCTGTCAAAATCTAGCAGGGTTTCCGTGGGATCTTAAAGTCTTAAATGTAGTTGTATCAAATTTAAGGCCTTAAGTCTTAAATTGTACAAGAAAGTCTTAATTATGATTTCAATAAAATCGACGGAAAGACCAGAATTGCGATTATGGCTCAATGTGACGATTAAACTTCAAAAGGCTTTGAAACATGAGCGCTGCACGTTCAGTCCGGTGCTTTGCTGCTTTATGTTCTGCTGTTATCGGGGAAACGGTTATATTTCTCCCAAACGCGCCACCTGCTGACAGAGAATGAATGTGCAATTTCAATAAAACTGTTGTTTTGATCAGAGTTCAGACAAATGCGAAAATCCACCCATGTTTTTACATTGCAGACACGCAGAGCTTTAAATGTGAGCTGGTGGATCGATAAGAAAACAATATATTATAAAAATCTTAATAGGGGTGGGCGATATGGTCTGCGGTAAAATCGTAACAAGTTAACGATGTGCGATTTGACATTATCGAGTATATTGCGAAAAGCAAACAAAACACACCTACAGAGTGCATGCATACATTACCTGATGAGTTAACATAGGTTAAACTAATGCATGTACGCATTTAGAATGCCTTCTTTCACTGCATGAATCAGTCTATTAAAATGCATTTAGAATTATCACATGATTCAAGATATGGGGGCAGAAAATGTATATTTATTAGGGATGCTCCGATCGATCGGCCGGAGATCGGTATCGGCCGATAATCACATTTTATGACTCGATCGGTACTCGCTACACTTGGCCGATCTCACGAACCGATCGCAATTTGATGTCAACGCGTGACGACGTACACAATCATGTCGTCGCCGGTGTGGAAATGCTATGATGTTTCGAGAAACAATGAAAAATTCGCTATTTGTTTATGTTTTGCATGATGATATGATAAGTGGATGGTTCATTTTTAACAGCAGATTCAGTGAATTTAGAGCTGATCTGCACCTCACTGCACACGTCTGCGGCGCGTTACGGGTCCACGGCTACCAGAGCTGATCGCGTCTGCTCTAGTCAGTGCTTGTTTATACCGGCCAGCCGCAGCACGTTTCTGAAGCGGCTCTCCGCGCTGCTTGGCTAAAAATAGTCTTTTGTGAGTGGTCACAGCGTGGAGGACGGAACAAAACCTCGTCAGAGCAGTAAGGGATAACGGTAACATAACACGCTGATCGTGGCCTGCTTTTAAATGAACATTTATTTATAAAACAAAATATCTTCTTTGGCCATATTAGCCTACTCCAGTGGTTCCCAACCAGAGCATGTGAGCGAAGCGGAGCGGTGTGACGCTCCGCTACATTTTCCGCTCTATGGACGTGCGCTCCACTCAGTCGCTCTAACCGCCCAAGCAAGCGCTCCGTTAATATTCCGCTCACGCTCGCCGTAAACCAATTCCCGTTCAGATCCCGCTCCGTTCTGTAAAGAACAAATTTG